CAAGTTTCCCAGTTTCGCGCTACATGCAGTCTTTTTCTTATCTTAAATAAAGTGCCCCATTTATTTTTATTGCAATGAATTGGTCCAAATTTTAATGAGATTCCAAATTTTCAATATGCTTCTTGTATTGTTAGATACTACTATAGTGAGAATCATTCTGGGATAGTTACCTACCTTCCTACATATTTCAGGAGGAGCCGCAAACTTATCGAAAACGCCCGGAAATATGAATACCTTATGAATAAGTAACGTGTATTTAAAAAAAAAAACAACTATCAGCCACGAGCAAGACTACGTATAGCGCGAAACTGGGAAATCTGGCAACAATGCCGATATCACGGTTGAATTTCGCTTGCCCAAAAACCCCCAGATACCAAATTTCGTGAACGTGCTAAGCGGCGTCTGAAGATATGCAAGCGCTGCGATTCTTTTCACCGAAAATAAGGTGTTGTCATATTTCAACAACTAGTAGAGATAGAATTCTGAAAATTTGTAGTCTTATCAAATTTGGCACGCCCAATTCATTGCAATAAAAATAAATGGGGCATTCTATTTAAAATAACAAAAAGACTACGTGTAGCGCAAAACTGGGAAATCTGGCAACATTGTCAATAGCACTGTTGAATTCCGCATGCCTAAAAACTGTCAGATTCCGAATTGTGTGAACGCGGCTTAAGCAGTTTTGGAGATATTAAAGTGTTGCAGTACTTTTTACTAACCCTGTATATAAAACACAGTTGTGTTGGTGTGTGAGCACTTATAACTCGAGAATGGCTGGACTGAGTCAATTTGTCAATCCTAACGTAATAAATCGAAAAAATCCAATAAAAAACAAAAAAAAATTTATCTATTTTACTTATTTATGAAAAAAACTCACTAAACCCGCATACGGCGCCATCTCTTATAACCGATATCAAGTTTACCGTCACATTTTCATTGCAAACCATGTGGATTCTATTGTCACACACTTTGCACAAAAACAATTTGAGGAAAGCTCCAGTTCCTTAGCAGTATTCTGTTCTACTGTATCTACAATGAAATTACCGCGCAACCGCGAGCTTCGTTCTAGGTACCTATCATATATGGCCGTATACAAAATGGTTGTGGCGGACTCATAACCTGGCTCTCTGCCACTCGACACCAGCCGGACCGAGCACTCCGAACAGTCGGCACGGAACACGGCTGTCAAGGGATGCCTAAGAGGAGAAACGGAACTTAGCCACAGAACGTCAATGGTCAGGCGTCAAGAAATGACAGGGAGACCAGTTCGCGCTCTTTCGGAATGAACGAACCAACAACAAAATAAAATACACAAATAAAACATTGTCATTCTATTTATTTTTGGACATTTTTACTGTGAAGAACAATTAAGAATATAGTGCTTTCCTCAAATTTTTTTTGTGCAAAGTGTGTGACAATAAAATCCACATGGTTTGCAATGAAAATGTGACGGTAAACTTGGTATCGGTTATAAGAGATGGCTCCGTATGCGGGCTTAGTAAGTTTTTTTCATAAATAAGTAAAATAAATATATTTTTTTGGATTTTTTCGATTTATTATGTTAGGATGGACAAAGATAAATCCAATAAGGCAAAAATCATAAAAATCAGTCCAGCCATTCTCGAGTTATAAGTGCTCACACACCAACACAACTGTGTTTTATATAGGTATATAGATTATTTTTCACAGTAAAAATGTCCAAAAATAAATAGAATGACGATGTTTTAATTGTGTATTTTATTTTGTTGTTGGTTCGTTCATTCCGAAAGAGCGCGAACTGGTCTCTCTGTCATTTCTTGACGCTTGACCATTGATGTTCCGTTTCTTCTCTTAGGCATCCCTTGACAGCCGTGTTTCGTGCCGACTGTTCGGAGTGCTCGGTCCGGCTGGTGTCGAGTGGCAGAGAGCCAGGTTATGAGTCCGCCACAACCATTTTGTATACGGCGCCATATATGATAGGTACCTAGAACGAAGCTCGCCGTTGCGCGGTAATTTCATTGCAAATACAGTAGAACAGAATACTGCTAAGGAACTGAAGCTATTCCGAATATATTAGAACTATTCCACTATTCCGATCAGATAAAGTGGCGCAGAAAGAGTAAATCAGATAGAATAGTGCAGATACAGTAGAACAGATGGAGTATTGCAGTGCATGAAGTGCATATAAACTGAAACAGGGTTGCGCTGGAGATTTTTTTTCTTTTCTTTACATTTTTTGAACATTCCTATGCCTGAGTTTATTTATTTGGTGGTACACTTTATAAGAATAATGCCCACAAGATGCCTAAAAAGGGATGATGTAAAATTTTAATTTTAGGTGACTTCTGATCCAGAGAGTAAAAATTAATTTTCTTCAGCCAAAGCCAAATTCACCATCGAAAAAAACTGAATTTAATTCAGTTAATAGATACATTAACACAACATTTAATAGGTATTTAATAATTCAGAGGGGGTACGAAGTTTGCAGGGTTAGCTACTAACGAATAAATCCATTATTGGATGAGTTCGACAAAACATGGCGGATGGGCGGATCTTAGGCGCCATTATCGCCACTGCCTTGTGTAGAGTCACTGTAATAATAAATACAGTGTCTCTACATCTATGATATACTATAAATATCTGTCACTGCATTATATTAAATACAGTGAAAATCGCACCTTTCTTTGACAGTATATTCATATTCATCAATAGTTCTAGGTTAGGTGATTCGGGAGATTCACGCATAAAGTTGATAAACTAACAGATTTTTTTTTCACATACCTTTCATTGTCTAAAAAAATAGGGGTTCCAAAAAATAAATTAGTACCGGGCCCACCCAGTGTCTTAATCCGCCTCTGAAAATTGGTTGTGATCACCCTGTATCATATTGAAACAAAAATTAGTACCTACATTTGGGTTTTAGACCATTCTGAAGAAGAATCTCTTCTAAAAAAAATCTCTAATGGTACTTATTGAAATTTGAGCCTATGAATGTGGGTACCCTGTACACCCGTATACACAGTTGCAGGCCGCAGAAATAAAACTATGGGCCAAATTGCCAAATAAGTGCCAAATTCGAGTAGATATAAAACGAAAAAAAAATAAAGTGAATCAATTGAAAAATAAAAATTTCAGAAGGGTGATCAGTCCTTAAGCGGGATACACTGTATGAAAAAATATGATAATTTCAAAAATCTGTTCAATAATTAGGTATTTTTTCTACTTGCGTGCACAAAGACTGCAAAGTTATTACTTTGCACACTCATTTGCGTGCGCAAAGTTGAACTTTGTGTACGAAAACTCTTTGCGCATTCATTTTTGTTACGCATAGTTACCGCATTTATATTCAATTTTTCAATGTTTTGTGGGTTTCTGGATAAATTTATTATATTCAGAAAGAATGGTCTGATGTTATTTTTTTTCCAAGAAAGGCATTCAGGTAATGTTTAGCTTTTTTAATTATTTGACACTTTCCGTATGAAAAGCGAGGGGAGGAAAAATCCAGGCAAAAATAGACGTGAGATTAGGTCAGTTGATGGCATGGAGAGTCTCCAACTCAGATTCCTTCAGAATATCAGATTATAAAAGTTGGACTGTAAATTATACTCCTCCATATACTCCCCAACATAATGGTGCTACGGAAAGAATGAATCAGACACCAATAGACAAAGCAAGATCTATGATAATGCAAACAAGCAAAATAATCAACCATCCAAGGACCTTTTTTTTCAGTTATACCTACATGTAAACCCTATACTTTTTGAGGGGCTTGCTTACATCAAGTTCGACAAATTTTTCCTCTACGACTTTTCTCGGAAATGGCACGTATACGCACAGGCGACTCGAAAACATGTCGATCTGACGTAGCTATGTTTCCTGATACATGAAAATCTAATTTTACGAATAATGTTTGATTTTTATGTCTAAATCACGGAAATCAACTTGGCTGACAAAAATAATGGCAAATTGGAGGAGTCCGATAATAAAGAAACATTTTATTTTAATCGGTAAATAATATACTTATTTTGCTAACAAGTGCGCAAAGTGTCTTTCCTGCACTCAAAGCTTATCCGAACTCCGTTTCGCGTCGTTCGTCTAACTGCTTTTTTGTGCGGGAAAGTATCACTTTGCGCACTTGTTAGGAAAATAACTATTTTTGATGAAAAATGTCCCGGTTGTTTGAATTAAATTTATGGCGCTAATTTCATTGCTTGCCGCTTGGCATTGGCAGCTTTTTTCAATGGATTCTGTAATGGAAACATGGATAAAAGGTGGAACCTTTATCAAAGGTGAAGGTCAAAGTTAGGTTAGGAAATAAAATGTTTGAAGAAAATCGACAAACATTTTGAGCAGTTGCCAACACGTTATAAATGTTTTAAACATCTATACTGAAACAGCTGACGCTGACATTTGCAAATTGTCACTAACATTTCTTTGCTGGAACACAAATTTGTCATTGCGCATGTAACAAGCTGCTGCCAACATTTCTGATAGCCATCCCGAAAACCCCCATGAAAATGGAGACATGTATAGGGTATTCCAATTTTGTTTGTGTACAAATTAGCTTAATAAGTAAATGCGAGACGGTGTAAAATTATATATTTTCCTCGTTTATAACGACATTTTCTCAAACATTTTTTCCAGCGAAATCCCCCACTCCCATCTATATCCATGCACAAATGTGTTTCAGTGCCATGTTATCTAACTGATGATAACAATGCAAGAGTGTGTAAAATGATTTAATGAAATAGACTTGTATCCCGTACTATAAAGCACTCGTATACTTTGCTCCCTAGTACACAAAACTGGCCACACTCAATTGGTAATACCTCATTTTACTAAACTTGGTGCTTGATATACTATTATAATAAAAAAAATATAAGGGGAGCATTATAATTAAAATATCTGCTAGAGATAGAATTCATGCTTTTATATGCTATAGTAAGTATAGAGGAGTAGAGGAAATATATCGAAATGGCAAAAAAAGAAAAAGAAAAAAAAAAAAAAGAGAAGGGACTTACCTAACACATTCATCATGCCATGCAGGTCGGTCGAAATCCAAAGAATCGTCAGAAAGACTAGACCTGGGAATAGTGCAAGGGTCGGACAGAGTGAAGATAAAGAGATTTTTGGTTTTGTTTTTTCAGCTAGCAAATAGCCCCGGTATATATTGAACCGACAAGAATAATTATTCATTACAATAACTAAGAAATCAGAATTATTTCTCCAAAGTTTAGAGTAGTAGAGATAAAATGGCGGTTCTGCAACCTTTGAAAGAGCTTATAATAAAGAAACAACAAGTTTGAATTTAGATGTTCAGATATTTTTGTCGTTTCAATGGTGCAAAATATATAAATGAAAAATGCTGGTGCGAAATGTGAGTTTCATAATCAAAAAGTTGCTGTGTCGATAATAAAACTAATTAGGTATCTACACCTAACAAGCAAAAATTGAATGTGATTATAACAGGAATTTTAGAAATAAGCATGCGTAAGAATAATTGTTATTTTATTATTTCAAATACCAATTTGTGTGTTATAGTTACATAATTGAATAAGAACCGGTATTATAATATCCGGTTGATCGAAAGTTGAGTTTCAATCTTTGGTTGACAGCACCATTATGTACGGTCAACCGGACATTATGATACCGGCCCTAGACCAAAAATCATTAGGATAACGAGCAAACTTTGAAATAGGTATTTTAAATTTCACAAAGTGAAATTTACCATTTGTAAAGACATTACTTACGCAATTTTTTCACTGGGTGATCTCCAAGGTACGTCATCTTCGAGCTCGTCCTCACTCTCATCTGCTTCGTCTTGTTCCGCATCCTGAGAACAGCTGATGTTTAGTGAACTTCCAGTAAACATATCAGGAACCTGATGAATTCGATTAGATATGTATTTAAAAATATATTATATATAGGGTGACTCAAAGTAACTCTTGACACAGTCCTTTGAGTCACCCTGTAATAACACTTTACCGGTAGAATGCTCGGTCTCCTAGAATTCCTCCTATGATTTATCGAATCGGGACATAGTAAGTTCGGATTTTCTCCTCCGCCTCTCGGTATGTCCAAATGGTTACCGGTCATCGAAATATCTACCGAAATTGAGCCGGTGGACTCTTTCAGACATTGTTTCGAATCACTCAGTGTAGCGTTTGCTAAAAAATACCCGAATTCATATAAGTTTAAATTATAAAAAAAAATATTAATCAATTAAATTCAAGAAGATTTTTACTAGTTAGTATAAAACTAGAGTTTTAAGAGCCGATAATTGGTGTTTTCAAACTTCAAACGGAAATTTAATTTTCCCGGTATTTCAATAACAAGCTCGCCTTTTTAAAATACTATAGTTTCTTAATTGAATTTTAACATTCTATAGATTAAATATTCATACATATTGACCGTGAACTTATTGAAACACGACCACGCCTTATGCCAATATTATTAGCTTCTAAAAATAGAGCATGAATTTTTTAATAGTGCATTTGCAGTAATTGAATGAACAATAATATCTACCTACTAAATTATTAATTACCTAAGCATTATTAGTGCATACATATAGAGGCAACATTGATTATTATTGGAAATGAGGTTAAATATTATGGAAGAATAAAATCATAATTAAACTGAAAAACATATAAAGCAAAGGGATTTTTGAATCCTATTTGAAATAAAAAAGCTTCAATTAATGAAAGTTTCATGAACGAATAGATACTTACATATAAAATTGATTCAAAAACAAAATTGGGGTGTAAGGGAATAAGGCAAAACGACATGCAGTGATACGCAAACACTCACTGACACAAGTAGGCACTTGCAGAATAAGCTGAGGAGGTGCGGTACCATCTTTAAAATGAAGTCCCATCGGTTTGAAGTCAGCCTCTTTAGCTTTATTGTTGACCGGATCGGCGGAAGTATTATTTTGACTGGATACGCTGAATGAAGAGTTTTCCTCTTTAGTGATGCTCATGTAGTAGCAGGTGTCGCTTTTTTTCATTATGTGTCTCGGGCCGGGATTGAGTAGGATGGTGTCTTCGTAGAATTCGGGTAGTTCGGCTGGGCGGACTCCTATTAAGGCTACACCATACCTGGTTATTGAATTTTATTTAAATTTCATTTTCTATTCTTTATACATAATTCATGATTGAGCATTGATGCTGACATTTTAAAACGAAATCGGGATTAGCACGTCAGCAAGAAATTAGTTCGATAAAAGGTAAATTAACAAGATTTTCTAATTATTTCAATTCCGTAAAAAATGAGACTTCAAAGTCCAAATCAAGCTACTTTAATTGAAATTGAAACTCATTTAAGAGAAACTGAATCAAATTTGCTTAATGAATTCACTAACATCCAATTCGAATTAGAAGGTTGTGGCCTTGAAACATTCACTGAAGCTGATTATTTAGAAACCTTCGAGTCAATTTATTATGTAACAATTTCAGAAGTAAAACAATCCATTTCATCCATTAATAATAACTCAATCACTCTGAGTTTTCAGTATTTTTTACATTAAACCTTTAGTGTGCAAGCTGAGCTCGCAGATTACGCTTGCCCAACTCGGCTTGGTTGAGCAGCGGGACGATTGTATCGTTTTCTGTCAAAGAGCAGCCTCACTCTTTGCGGTGGCCAAGAAGGCTTGGGCACAGGAAACGATTTGAGTAAAACACCTTTTGATGCTAGATGAATACTGATTTATTTCGAATCTTACATCCCTTTTTATATTGAATTTTGATAAACTAATCGTGACAAAAACTGCAAAATTATAAAACACTGTGACCGTAATTATTTAAATGCATGCTGGAATGCAACTTACAATGTTTGGATATTTTTATATTACCCAAACATTGTGACTAACTAAAATCTCATATAGCAAGCTGACCGTGATATTGAATAAAATATAAATATACGAAGTCGGTCAAATTACGCCGGCGAAGGTTAATCACTGTTTAATTGTTCTAATTAAACATTCTCCAGACTGGAAGAATGCAGAGACATTAGCTCAATCTCTTCTTTTTGGTCTTGGTGTTGGTCTCTTGTCTGCTTTTGACGCCTTCTGTTGATAAGTTTTGTTGTTTGCCATCCTGCAATCACTAGTATAATGATGACTATGGTGGTGATGCTGCTAATGGCTGCGGAGTGGTGATGAATACTAGGCCATACTTTGTTACGGAGTCGATCATCGAGGTCCTCTTCTTCTCTTACTAAGTCTCCAAAACTATCGGATTCTGTAAACACGGGCTCGGTGGCTATATCTGACGGTGGATGTTTGTGGAGAGTACCATTGAAGATTATGGGTACAGCTTTTACATAACTGCCTAGCACTGGAACGATTGCGCTTCTTATGGGAGTTAGAATGTTCTGTTTTGTCTGGATGGTGCAATCTTGAGAAATTTGAATTATTCCCGTTGTGTTTATTCCTACCTCTTCCCGCTCGCCGTTGCATATCACCGCTATTGTTGTAGACGATCCTGCGATGAACATCCATGTATTCGTTGTACATAGTCGTTTCCAGAGGATGCCTTTTAGCCTGTGTTGTTGTATATGGCAATGCCTGGGTTGCGGTCGTTCATAAATTTCGTCGATGACGCAGGACGGATTAGATTCAATGTTTCTAACAGAAACTGGAGAACAGATGAGTTGGTGTGGGTAGGGCTGCATGCACTGTTGGAGGTCGCTTTCATGGAGCTAAAAGTATGTTTGACTGTTATAGTCGACGGCGGTGTAATCATCGTGAAGGTCCAACGCCTAGTATGTTTCATTCTCAATTCTGAGTGGAATCAGTGTTGCCTTCAATAAGGTGAATTCTGTCACGTCAACTATTGGAAAATATCCACACACCTTGAGGTGCGTGTTGTTGGTGATTAATCTTGTGGACACTGCTGCCGAAAGAATCTTTCGATTGTTTGGGAGCTTCCGATTGGATTTTTGAATGACGGCGTTGATATATGCTGGTGAAACTTGGTCATATATCGTACCCCTGTTAAAGTTGATGTTCAGCTAGAGGTAGGCCAACCTGCGATTTTACTGGAACTGTGACAAGACGTGACTGCTCCAGTCGTATCACAGTGAAAAATAGCAGTGATTTTTTGGAGCAGTTTAACCTCGATTGGCCGTGCTGGTTATATATATAAATGCTACATTACATAATCGCAGTCCGCCCAGTTTGCAGTCACGGTCGAGAGAGGTGTTCCAGGTTTGCCCTCTGCAGTAGCAGTTTCTGTTTGGCGTCACCGCGATGCGATTTACAACTTGTATCACTTTGACTTGAGTTTAGTCCGCACTGCATCGGTGAGAGATTGAAGCGGCCGTGGCCGTGACAAAATGTCACTGCTACTTGAGTGGGACTGGAGCAGGCTGTGACTGTGACAGACGCGTAGCAGTGACAAAGTCACAGTTCGTGAAATCGCAACCCACCTCTATGTTCAGCAATTTATCATAGTGCTCATTGATTTCGCTGATGAAGTTGGTAGCTACTTGGTATGCACTCAATAGGTGAATGTTAAGGGCATTAGTGTCTATTTGCTTGTACCAACTCTGCATGCTGTTGATAGCTTCTATTCCTTCATTGAGTCGTTTCTGGAAATGTTGTAGTTTGTTCGTGATTCTGGCTTCTGTTTCGTTGAATTTTGTGAGGGCCGAGATCATGAACTTTGTTTGGTAGTTCGATGCTCTGATGAGTTCTTCCTGATTATTGTTCATTGCCTCGATATCTTGATATACTTTGTCATTCACTCCAAAAACCGCAGTCAAAAATTTTCCAAATAGTCCTCTCTTAGTTCTGTGGTGAATGTCGGCCATGGTAGCAAATATCCATTTGGAGTGATTTTCCATTTCTTCTAAGTGTTGTACGAGAGATGTGCATTTGATTTCATCGGTGAGCTTCTTGGATTCGTTGCACATATTTTTGAATTGGTTGACGACTGTGGATACCTCTGATAATTCCGTTTCAGTTTTGTTCTTAGGATACGTTGTCTCTATTCTAAAAATCCCTCTATCAATTTTTGCTGATCCAAGGTGTTCAACGTAAAAACCATGTTGTGGATAGTTGATTTTAAACCCTGTTTCTGCAGCGGCGGTTGTAATCATCATAATTATGGCTGCTAGGAAAAACAATAGATATGATTTTGCTGATGTTGATGCTACGTTCCGTAGTCGGTCTGCTCTCCGTACCTCTGATGAGTGGTTTTGGGTGGTTGGTAAATTGTGTATGTCTTCTGTCGGTAATGGGATTAACTTGTGGATCGGTCTTTTTTGTGGTGAGCCACCTGCTTTCTTTATTGTTACCACTCGGATTGCTCCATCTTGACCCTGGTGAGTTTCTATAATTCTCCCCAAAGGCCATTGGTTTGGGTTTATATTTTCTTCTTTGATTAGGACCATTGTTCTTACTCGTATATTATTGGTCTGATTTTTCCATTTGTATCTTTGCTGCAGTCTGGTGAGGTATTCTGTGCACCATGCGCTCCAAATATTTTTCTTTAGCTTTTGCACGTGTCTCCATCGTTGAGATAGGTTAAAATATTTTGTCGATTCTAAGTTTGGTGGAGCTAGAAGTTCTCTTCCTATGAGAAAGTGTCCTGGGGTCAAGATGTTGAAATCATCTGTGTCTTCTGTTAGCGGGTAAAGTGGTCTTGAGTTCAAACATGCTTCGATTTGATACACCAACGTTGTTAATTCTTCACAGGTCAAAGTGCAGTCTCCAATAACTCTCTTGAGATGGTGCTTCATAGATTTTACACCTGCCTCCCATAGTCCTCCGAAATGAGGGGCTGCAGGTGGAATGAAGTGCCATTGTGTTCCTAAGTTGACGATTGTATTTTGCACAGATTGTGATTGTAACAATTTTGTGATTTCATCTTCGAATAGGCGTGCTGCTCCAACAAATGTAGTTCTGTTATCACTGTACATATTTGCACAATGTCCCTTTCTGGCTGTGAAACGTCGAAGTGCTGCTGAGAATGCCTCTGTTGTCATGTCACTGACTACTTCTAGGTGAATGGCTTTGGTTGCTAGGCATACAAATACTGCGATATACCCTTTGTACGATTTGTGACCTCTTCCTTTTGTTGCTCTGACTTGAATCGATCCAGCGTAGTCCACTCCTGAGTTTGTAAATGGTGGTGCTGGTGTTACTCTCGATTTCGTCCCATGAGTTGCTGTGCGGTCTCGGCTTTGTGACGGATGCATACAATGCACTTATTTATAACTGCTTTGACGGCCCGCTTATCGTTGATGATCCAGAATCTGCTTCTTATGTACGACAATGTCGCTTGGCTGCCTCCATGTAGCGTGGTCTTGTGTGCGTTTCTCACTACCAACATAGATATGTGAGAATGGTATGGAAGAATCATCGGGTGTCGTTGGTCATAGGGAAGAGGTGAGTGTTCGAGTCTGCCTCCGACTCGGATTATGCCCTTGCTGTCGAGAAATGGGTTGAGGTTCTGTAGCTTACTTTTCTTGTCGATTGCGTTCTGCTGTTGTAAAGACTTGTATTCTTCGGTAAACTCTTGCTGTTGGACTATTTTTATGATTCTTTCGAAAGTGTTTTGAACTTCTTGAACGGATAGAGTAAGACTTTTCTCTTTTTTGATGAATCGACGGCAGTAGGATAATACCCTGAGCCTCCTTGTCAAGTTTGAGAAGCGGTCCCATATATCGCTCCTTATCGTAACTTCAATTTTGTGACATGTGGCTTTTACTTCTTCTTGAATGTCGGGAATGTTGTCTGTTATGGGGATTTCATGGAGAAATGTTAGCCAATGAGGACCTTTCCACCACATGTCAGCTGATTGTAGTTTGTCTGGGTCTAAAACCCTGGATATGATGTCTGCTGGGTTTTCTTGGGACTTGACGTGGTTCCAGGATACTTGAGGGGCGTTTCTGTGTATTTCACAAACTCTATTTGCCACAAAGGTTTTCCATCTCGTAGAGTCACCCTTTATCCAGGCAAGAGTGATCATGGAGTCGGTCCAAGCGAAGGTTTGGGTATCACTCATTTGAAGTGCTATCTTAGTTTTTTGAATTAGTTTTGATAGTAGGACTGCTGCACATAGCTCCAAGCGAGGTAGGGTTGTTCTGTTTTTTG